CCACGTATCTGCCAGCTGTTTAACCGACGTCAAGGCTAACTGTTTAACCCACGTCTTGGCCAGCTGTTTATTCCACGTCTCGGCTAGCTGTTTAACCCACAGAATGAGCTGGGATGCACACGCGTGTGTGTACGACTCTCGCACATGCGTGTGCACGAATGTCTCATACGCGTGTGTACGAGTGTCTTACACGCATGTGTGTATTATTGTGTCCGAATGGGAAGCAGTGGTGTAGTGAATAGCGCGCTGCGCTACGAACCTAGCTACCGGAGCTCGATTCCTGCTCATGGCCAACAGCAGTGAAGATTATCTGAAATGGTCCTGGACCTCCCCTACGTCGACTAAGCCTCAATTGAATATCTGGTGCGATGCATAAACATCACCAATCGGGAGATAAATGCAGCTGAGCATGGTGCTGGTTACTACCCCCCTGCGTATGTGCCCTGTATAGGTATTCCTAACAGCACTTGCCCCAACAGTGTTAATTCTATACGGGGGATATTTTTTGTCTTTGTATGTGGGACTGTGAGAGAAACTGCGTGAGTGTGATTGAAGTTGTGATTGTGTGTGTGCAACCGGATGATTGTGTGTGTGTGATTGTGCGTGTGAGAAGCAGTAGTTACTACACCACGCTGCAAACCCGGCGAACCGAGTTTGACGCCCGGCCAAGACCAACAACACCAGTGACGATTATATGAACCAGTTGCGGGCCTCCCTGCTAGCGCCAAACTCAGCCTTAAATTACGACCTACTGCTGCGCGTGTAAACATCAGCAGTGGCGAGACAAAGACAGCCGGGCATGGTGCCGGCCACACCACCAACACCACCCACCCCCTTTAGCTCCCGCCATGGCGTCGGCATTCACAGCTGCCGGCTAACAGCACTTGCCCCCAGGGGCGTTTGCAGACAGCACGAGCCACCTTTGTGCGAGATGAAACAGTCTGGCAGACCGAGTCCTCAACATGGGTTGAGGGATCAACGAGTGAATTTCACAGGAACCACGCTCGTCGTAGTAGTAGCAGTGACAGAAGAGTGATGAGAAGGCTTCAGTTTCCGTTTTCAGTTTCATTTATTTGGTATAGCCCTGTGAGCCATTTGGCTCTTGAATCGGGTGCAACCGCAACAAACAAAAACATGAACAAGAAAACGTCTTAAAGTGACTCTGCGCAAAGGCGACTGGAGTCATCGTTTGTTCTGCGTGTGGTTGTGCTGTGGGTCATATTTACTCTATCGATACCCCCCCACCCAGCCTCCCCCACCCCCCTAATATTTGCCTTCGGGGCTGAGCATTTAAAACCAGATGCCAGCAGATAACAAAGTCGAGGGAAGGAGTCGCGTAGCTAGCAGCAGATGTTTGGGGTATTGTGTCCGGGACAGCTCGTGACTACACAGCACTCTACCTGGCGTGATCCATGGTCTATAGACTGCTGCCCGAAGGTCTCCCGTTTCCTCCCAGAGCAGCCATCACCCTCTCACGACAACGGTCAACCCAGCAGCTGCTGCTCTACGCACGACGAGGGGATTTCATCCTCACTCAACTACCAAATTACCGGCTGCGGATCCGTGATCAGTCTCGATCATCGCCCATCATCGTCCCTTCCGGCCGTGACGTGTCCTACACCCCAGCCCCACTCACTCCACTCACCAGTCTGGAGGATGATGATGATCATGGTCTATCCACTGTTGCATGAAGGCACCACGATGGTGTGATATTAACCAACTCGCCTGGTATATCGGGGGTTTGATCCCAACTCTGACGCCTGTATATCGGAGTTTCATGTCTCCCTCCCCGCGGTCATGTGGATTTTTCTCCAGGTCCTCCGGTTTTTCCCTCCACATTTTTAATCAACATGCCTTTAAGATTTGGCTGCTATAAATTTCCACAGGATAACCCACTTTTTGTTGAGCTATTATTTGTGGCCAGGTCGTTTCTGAAAAAGAGCTACAAAACTCAGTGGGCCTTACCTGGTAGAATACAAAGTTTATAGTTTGGAGTTTGATGATGGTAATGTCCCTAACTCTGCTGCGTGTGTTCCTTAATCCACGTACTCTTCTTCCTGTCTCTGAGCGTGTGTTCTCCTGTGCGCACTTTCAATGCGTTCTCGATTTGTTTCCACTAACGACCATCGTGAAAATATCAGTTACATTGGCAAACACGCACCCTTCCCATGCTTGTCTCTCTACATAAAACAACACCTAAAAAATAATTTCATTTTACACATTCCATCAACCTTCCGATGAGCGCATTATAATATTAGCAGCCAAAGTTCAACACCTGAGCAGTGGCGCCATGGTGGCGAGATGTTAACTACTTCGCTTGGTATGTAGGAAGGTATTGGGTTCGATCCCGACCCTGACACCTGCTGTATATTTAGAGTTTGCGTGTTCTTGCCGTGGTTGCGTGCATTTTTCTCTGGGTCCTCCGATTTTTCCCTCCACATTTAGAATCAACATCACGCGATTAGAGAATTTGGCTGCTATACATTTCCACAAGAGAAGCCACTTTGTTGAGTATTCATTTATGGCCAGGTCGTTTCTAAAAAAAGAGCTATGTAGCTCAGTGGGCTTTACCAAAAAAAAGTTTATAGTTAGTTAAAGTGCTTCTGCCTAGCGTGGAAACGTCACGAGTGGCGGGCGGGCGAAGGCACCGGACTTGGGAATAATTTTCTGAAATGTGCGCCGGAATTTCTTTCAGAATCGTTCCAGGAAACTATGAAAAAAAAGTTTAAAGAGACCCCCCCCAAAAAATAAACTCCCACGCATTCCAGACTCTCCAAGAATCCCAGCTGATGCGGCAGGGCCACGTGGTGGTGGTGGTGGTGGAGTCACACAGCAGGGAAACAATTCTCCACCAGCCAAGAGGGTAACAAAAAAAAACCCTCATTGTATTGTCCATGGTGGTGATGCAACTTATTATTACTGTGATCACTGCCTCTGGTCAACTCGGGGAAGCCTCATGGAGTCAAGACTACTTGCCAGGAGGGTCCTGCCAGGTTTTCGCAATAGAGGAGCGGTATTGCTGCTGCCTCTGCGCTGCGCCAGCGAGATGTTAACTCCCTCGCCTGAGGTCGTGGGTTCGATCCCGACGCTGACGCCTGTACAGTACATGTGGACTCTGCATGTCCCTCTCCCCGTGGTCGTGTAGAATTAATAAGCATTTTGAGTATTTGGCTACTATACATTTTCACTTGATAAGCCACTTCGTTGAGCTATGTGGCCAGGTCGCTTCTGAAAAATAACTATATGGCGCAGTGGGCCTTACGTGGTAAAATAAAAAAAAAGTAATAGTAGTTACATAGTTGTGTGATCCCCAATTGAGTAATTTGCAGGGAATTCATCACCAGCATTAGCATGTGAGTTTGGCCGATACCGGTCCCAATGTGTGTCAGTTTAGCTGTGACAGGAAAATGGAGAACCCGGAGGAAACCCATGCAGAAGGGAAGAGAACGAATCGAACCCAGGAGCTCCTCCTGGCTACTGCCCCACTGAGATAGCAGCGACAACATCGATGCCGCACTCAATGGCGCATGCTACCCGCTGGATCAACCACCAACCATGGGGAGTAGGAGGAAGCGTGTACACAATCATACGTGGGTGACCTTCATTACTATGCAATGTGCCTGCCCTTTCAAACTGCCAGCCCTTTAAAACTCCCAGCCATTTAAACTCCCAACCCGCCCGTTCAAACTCCGAGCCCTTTAGAAGTCCCCGCATTTTAGAACTGCCAGCCCTTTAGGCTCCCAGCCTTCGAAATCGCCTTCCTCGAAAACTGCGTGCCCTTTAAACACCGCGGTGATGGCGGAGGCATTTTACCGGGGACGCGTGGCCCTTTTGTCTCCCGGACTCAACTCTACTCCCATCCTCCCGTCAACATCATCGGCAACATCAACCACCATCAACAATACCAAGCGATATCAAGGACACCTTTGCCAGCACAGCACTGTGCCGCAACCAGCAGCAACATCAACCTGCACCATGAACCTACACCACCAACCTATACCATCAACATGCAACATCAACATGCAACATCAACGTTACAGTCGGCCACATTACGACCAACATTGATGTTTACAAACATTAATAGGCAAGGTAACCAAGAACAAATGTATCACACGACCATCACGGAAGATCAACAAGCAACATCTACCATACTAAAGTATCAACAAGCATCAATATTAACCACCGACTCCCCCCAAAAGTTCCTGCAACTTTCACCACCATCATCACGACCACCGTCATCAGCAGCAGCAACTTTGTCCCGTCAACTCTCATCAGGCCCCATCGCCACTCGCCATCAACCACCACCAGTCCCATCAAGCCACACTTAGACAACCTCCTCATTCACTCCTTCCTCACCCTCTCACTCACCCTCAACCCATCTCCACCCCATTCACCCACTCACTCATCCACTCTCCCGCCCGCTCACCGGCTCACCAGCTCACTCACCGGCTCACTCACCCGCTCACTCACCCGCTCACTCACCCACTAACTCACCAGCTCACTCACCGGCTCACTCACCCGCTCACTCACCCTCAACCCATCTCCACCCCATTCACCCACTCACTCTCCCATCCACTCTCCCGCCCGCTCACCAGCTCACTCACCAGCTCACTCACCGGCTCACTCACCCGCTCACTCACCCGCTCGCTCACCCATCCACTATCCCGCCCGCTCACCGGCTCACTCACCCGCTCACTCACCGGCTCACTCACCCGCTCACTCACCGGCTCACTCACCGGCTCACTCACCCGCTCACTCACCCGCTCACTCACCCGCTCACTCACCCACTAACTCACCAGCTCACTCACCCATCCACCATCCCGCCCGCTCACCGGCTCACCAGTTCACTCACCAACTCACCGGCTCACTCACCCGCTCACTCACCCACCAACTCACCAGCTCACTCACCAGCTCACTCACCCGCTCACTCACCCACTAACTCACCAGCTCGCTCACCCATCCACTCTCCCGCCCGCTCACCGGCTCACCAGTTCACTCACCCGCTCACTCACCAGTCTTTTCTTGCTGATGTGTCTCTTGGGCCGTTCCTTGCTCATCTTCGTGTCTCCGCCGTGGTTCCCCCCCTCAGCTACCGAGAGAGTGCTCTTTGTTGCTGGCCGCTTGGCGTTTAAACTAAAACTCCTGAGACGACGCCGAGACGATGATGGTGACGAGGCGGCGTTGGTATTGATAATGGGCGAGTAGGTTGACGGAAGAGCTGTGAGGAAATTAATAAGTCAACAAATATGACGAGGTAGATGATGATAGTGACGGTGATGAGGGTGTAAGGGGCGCGGAAGAACTCCAGAAGAGCCGCAAGTGAAGTTCGCTACGTCTCCCAACGCCCACCACCGCCGCCGCCGCTTCTTCGGTCAGCCCAGGCGAGTCGCGCAGCGCTGCGACGCGAGGAGACGGCGCCAGGCAGGCGGCCTGCTGATGCTGCTGCTCTCCATCCTCCCGCCCCTGCCCTTCCTCACTCCTCTTGCCCTCCTGGGGCGGCCTTCTTCGTCAAAGAGGAGGCGGCGGCATGAGCCGAGATGGTCTCCCTCGCGTTCTTCCTTCGCCTCGCGTCTCTCTCCCTCAACCCTCTCTCTCCACTCGTCCCGTGCTCGCTCGCGTCTCTCCTCACAACTTGACAGTTTCTCTCTCTCCGCCACTTTCTGAACCCTCCTCTCCCTTATATCGTCAACTTCACTTGCTCCTGCTCGCTCTTTCTCTCCTCGTCTTCTCGCGGCACCACTCCACCACCCGCTTCACGGTGTAGACGTGGGGGTTGCCCAACCACCCAGATTCTTGCTGCTGGTTGTTGCCGATCACAACTGCTGGCGATGTTGTGTATGCAGCAATGGCTGTTTAAATGTCCAACAGCTGACACAAGCAGCTCCCCGCCTCTTCCTCCTCCTCCTGGCAAAACTTTCTAGAGCACAATCCGAGAAACAACAACCACCACTACCACAACCACCACCACAACAACCAAGTCTGCTCTGTCGAGTTGTTGTTGTTGGCCCTTGCGCTGCTGCCCGTTCCCGAGATTGTTGCTTCCGTGGCCGCCGCCGTTGCCCTCGCATCAACAACAACAAACATCACAACAACCAAAAACAACAACAACAAAAAGAACAAGAGACCACGCTTCCGCCGCCATCTTCTCGGCGCACATGGGGTGCCCGGTAGCTCATTAACATATGCTAATGATGCGGCGGGCTGAGCCCCGCCCATACGCAGCAAAGCCAATGAGCAACGAAGCCACACGCCCATACTAACAACCACACCCCCATATTATAATTTGACCGCGCCCAGATTTACACGCCCCCGCCGCCCACTTAAAAGCCCCCCGCATAATTTCCATAATTGGACCCGCCCACTTATGAGACCACGCCCCACCAAAAGTTAAACCACGCCCTTGGTTGAGTCCGGAGCCACCCCCACAGACCACGTGCACGCACGGTCTCGCCCACTTATGCAAAGTGCTCAGCGTATTTAGAATGTTAACCTTTTATTGATTTAGACTGCTGCAGGAGGAATCTGATGAGCTATAAAGCTCTTTTCCACAGATGCCTTCAGTGGGGGCGCAGGGTCCTACCATTACGACAGCAAACAATACGAAACACGATAGAATCATAAGCGGAATATTTCGTGACACTGTAGGAATCCGATGAGCTATAAAGCTCTTTTTCACAGACGTCCAGTAGGGGCCGGGGGCGTCACAACAACAAACAATACGAAAGACACGACAAGAGTGCAAAGTATAGGAAAGGTAAACAAATCACTAAATTTACAAATACATCTAAACTATTTTTTTTATTTTACTAGCTAAAGCCCGCTGAGGTCACAAGCTTCTTTTTTAAGAAGCCACCTGGCCACAAATGATAGCTCAACGATGTGTCTCATCATCACGTGGACATTTATAGCAGCGGCCAAATACTGCTGAGTCACACCCACCACGCCACGTGACTCGGGCCACGTTGCTGACTCTGCGCCTCCTGAGAACCCGGCCACCCGGGTTCGATTCCCGCTCGCGGCCACCAACGCCGGTGACGATTAACAAAATCGGTCCTGGGCCTCCCTTTAGGCTGACTCAACCTCAAATGAGTACCTGGTGCGGTGTGTAAACATCGCCAGTGGGGGAGACAAAGGCGGTCGGGTGTGGTGCTGGCCACCCACCCCCTCGTGTAGCGTGCCGGCCCTTCGCAGGTTCAGCGCTTGTCCCAGCAGTCTGTTGAGGCTATAATACGGGGGGGGGGGGGGGTCTTTGCCTTCTTCCGAGTGCGGTCTTTGTTGAGCGTTGGACCAGGGCTCGTGTCTCGCAGGCAGGAGGAGCACACCCTCACCTGCAGACCCTCACCTGCAGACCCTCACCTGCAGACCCTCACCTGCAGACCCTCACCTGCAGACCCTCACCTCGACACGCCCTCACCTGCACAGACTCTCACCTCTACACGCCCTCACCTGCACACCCTCACCTGCACAGACCCTCACCTGTACACGCCCTCACCTGCACACCCTCACCTGCAGACCCTCACCTGCACAGACCCTCACCTGTACACGCCCTCACCTGCACAGACCCTCACCTGTACACGCCCTCACCTGCACAGACTCTCACCTGTACACGCCCTCACCTACACAGACCCTCACCTGTACACGCCCTCACCTGCACAGACTCTCACCTGTACACGCCCTCACCTGCACAGACTCTCACCTGTACACGCCCTCACCTGCACAGACTCTCACCTGTACACGCCCTCACCTACACAGACCCTCACCTGTACACGCCCTCACCTGCACAGACTCTCACCTGTACACGCCCTCACCTGCACAGACTCTCACCTGTACACGCCCTCACCTGCACAGACTCTCACCTGTACACGCCCTCACCTGCACAGACTCTCACCTGTACACGCCCTCACCTACACAGACTCTCACCTGTACAGGCCCTCACCTACACAGACCCTCACCTGCAGACCCTCACCTACACAGACCCTCACCTGTACACGCCCTCACCTACACAGACTCTCACCTGTACACGCCCTCACCTGCACAGACCCTCACCTGCAGACCCTCACCTGCACAGACCCTCACCTGCAGACCCTCACCTACACAGACCCTCACCTGTACACGCCCTCACCTACACAGACTCTCACCTGTACACGCCCTCACCTGCACAGACTCTCACCTGTACACGCCCAGCAGTTCACCTACAGCCACGGGTTCAGCCTGCTAATGAGACACTGCATGTCAACTCCCTGTAACAGAGGGCTCGCCTATGTCGAACCAATGCTGCTGCAAATGCTGTATTGCACTGCGAGAATAAACACCGTGTTGCTGATTGGATGCGTAAAATTATGCTGTATATGTGTTTAACGTGTATGCGTGTCTGCTTATTTGAGTAGATTGTTGGGCCTCAGTGAGTGGTCCTGGACGAGTCGAGCCACCGGCAAAATCCCTGGGGTAGCGGCTTCGACTCTGTTGGTGTTCATCATCAACATTGCGCCGCCTGGTACCCCCACGGGCCGTCATCTCCCCCTGGTGTTCGCGCTTGGAATCATCGCATGGAGAGACAGCAGACAATCACCTGGTCTGCAAATCCCTTCATGGTCTTGCCCCAACCACGTCTTGCTACTCTGGTTATCTTGCTTTGTCGCCTTCTCGCCCTTTTACAATCTTCGCTCTCTCTCTGTTCCTCCTGCGCCTCCTCGTGCTCCAGCCACGCGTTTGCTCTTTTTCTCGCCCCCCTTAACTGGAACAATCTTCCCGCTACACATTGACACATTGAGCCGTCACCTTCACTCATGAGTTTTCGCTCCTCTAGCTCACCCCCCCCCCCTAAACCACCACCACTACTGTTCTCTCTCCATATTCTCATTGTATGGCTATCACTCATTAACCCCATTCATTCAATCCATCGATTTCGCTTTTGCCGAATTCCCGCATCATCACAGATTCGTCCCCATTGCTTCTTCTCGTCTTTTGTATTCGCCTCATCTCCGCCATGACATTCACACACGCGGCGTTGGTGTTGTTGTTGATGTTCCCTTCTCAATTCTCTGTAAAGCGCCTTGATGAACGCGCGATATAAATTACTACATATCCCATCGGCCAGAGGGCATTCCTCCTGGGAGTGTGCATCTCATCAGCCAGCGTGAGTTACAAGCAAAACTCTGGACCGGTTTCAACATTCAGTGTTCCAGCATCAGTCAGGCTTCCTTGAACCAATGCTGATGAGCTGCCAGATGTATATTGGCAAGGGACCCCCCTCTTTGATATGGGTCCCAGTTCGACACAAAACTACTGTATATATTATACATATTATACACGGCACAAAATAACGACTCAGACAGAGAACTATAGACTGACATAGAGACGCATAGACTCACATCGAGACGCATAGATTCACATAGTCTGGGTCGTGATTAAACCGGTTTGTCAAGTGTAGAGAGTATATGGTGTTATGACTCACATAGAAACCCAATGACTCACATAGAAACGCAATGACTTCCATTGAGACCCAATGACTTGCAAAGAGACCCAGTGACTCCCATAGAGGTCCCTACACTAAGACAGAGAACCACAGTCGAGTTTAACACGTAGGAGGCTTTCGCGACCAACATCATCCATACTAGAGGTTTTTGGGTTAGATCGCGTAAATATATAAATGTGTCTACATCATTAGGTACTGGCAAAGGATGTCTAATGATGTAGATGCTCACCCCGAGCCCTCATTACTTTGATAGTGCATTGTCTTTGAGCTGTGTGACGCCTTTTGGCGTCATCTGGTCGAGCACCAATTGGGTCGAGACTCAACAGAAAGCCGTCCCTTGGTGTGGACCAATCAGTTTCAAGGACAATGTATATATTATCATAATGTTTTTTGTTTGCATTTTGACTGTAGGTATTGTGGTTAATGCAGACATGAATCCTCGTAAAAAGGTTTCAATTTGTTGCCAGAAAAAAGGGGAAAACCCCTATTATTATATAAATGTATCGTTAAAATCCGCCACCACCCGACACAGCCAACTAGTAAGGGTTGTACCGTAAACAGAACGTGCCATTTCGTCACTAGTACAGCACTAACCGGTGTGTTGGAGAGCCAAGCCACAACATTTACAAACTGAGTACGACGTTTCGCCAGTAATTACAACTAGCTTCATCAGGCGACAGCCAGATTTGTGGAGAAGTTTTACTGTTTCGTTCCTTATATAGAGGCGTAGATGTGGTGACCACGCTTCTGCGCTCTTGCACAATGGGGGGGGGGGGGAGTTACTGAGGCAACGTACATGATGCATGTGCATTATGCGAGCCCTTTGAACTTGTCCTTCCTGTCTATTGTGTTTATTAAAATAGCCCTAAATCTAGACTTAAAGCTTTCGTGACTGCAGGGATTCATATTCTTGGGGCTTTCGGTAAAATCATGTCGATAGTTTCAAAGAAAAATAACAAAAAAATAACAAAAAACTACATCGTTTCGATCGCAACACAAACGTTCGTCATCAGGAGAAAAAAATATCCCTAACAACGGTAATCCCTATTTAAGTACGCTGCCCTTTGAATAATGTATTATTTGATTATTCGCTTCCACCCAGCACTAAGGCGGTAGCTATCCGAACGGGTAAAGTTATTTAAATTTATTTCAATTTCGATAGATTATCTAATTAGTCTTGGTCAGTAGTAGCTAGTTTGCACAAAACTTCAACATTATTCAAATCAATTGAGTGTCCTTGTTGGCACGCGTGTTCTGCTACTGCTGACAGTTGTATTTGAGATAATTTAATATTTCTCTGATGTTCTTTTAGTCTCGTGCTGATCATCCCTTCTGTTTGCCCAACATAACATTTACCACACGTGCAGTTAATACTGTACATCTTTTGTACCAGCTTCGGTAATACAAAATATTCGGTAATACAAAATATGTATTACCGAGGCTATCAACAGAACACACGTGCAGATAGTTGTAATTACTGACGAAACGTCGTACTCAGATTGTAAATGTTGTGGCTTGGCTCTCCAACACACCGGTTAGTGCTGTACTAGCGACGAATTGGCCACGTTCTGTAGACGTGACAACCCTTACTAGTTGGCTGTGTCGGTGGTGGCGGATTTTAACGACGCATTTATATATTTAATACGCGATCTAACCCAAAAACCTCTAGAGTCTAGAATGAACCACAGTCGAATGCTGTAGCGCCGCCTGGCGTCAAAATGTAAATACTGTACTAGTTTATCAGCTTCAATATTCTAAATCGCCTTAAAGATAAACACACATAATACCTCAATATACAAGTGGAGATGTTTCGGAGCGATACAAATGAATAATAAGAATCAGTCCTTGGTCAAGTTTTCTACTGCTGGATGAGGTTGTTTGACCATGCTTCACCACTGGACAATGGGGGGGGGGGGGGGTAC